GTACATTTCTCCTTTCTCCATTAACAAACAATTGTCCTTCAACCTGCAGATGACAGCATAACTATTAAATACTGTATTTGTCAAAAACAATTACAGTAATAATAATAATTAAAATAAAACATTTAAAATCCATACATAGTAGGGTTGCAACAACTAATAATCGATTATGAGAATAGTTAGCAACTATTCTCATCATCGAATAGTTGGCTGGGGGAGAGAAAGAGAGAGGGAGAGAGGGGGAGAGAGAGAGGGGAGGAGAGAGAGGGGAGGAGAGAGAGGGGAGGAGAGAGAGGGGGGGAGAGAGAGGGGAGGAGAGAGAGGGGGAGAGAGGGAGAGAGAAAAGGAGAGAGTGAGAGAGAGTGTTTTTTATACAACCAATCAATTCGTTGAAAAGATAAATTGGGCAACGAATCGATTATGAAAATAATTGTTAGCTGCAGCCCTATTACATAGATTTTATTCATTTTAACATTTACAATAAAAAACAAAGCAGGTTTTTTTACATTAAACATTGTACCAAATAAACACATATGTTCTTCAAAAATTATTTAGGTAGGCATATTAGCCATAGAGTTATAGTAAAATTAACCAATGCATACTGATGATGCTTAGCATGAAAGGGTTAATGATAAAATGCTTTAACTTGTGGGTCAAACTATACTGTTGTATATTATGGTATGTATGAAACTGAATTCTTGTTATGATGTGTTATATAAAACATATGTATATATAATCCCAAACAATTAGGCAGGACACTATAGATTTTTACACAAAAAATATTGTTTCTAGTGGTCTTTTCTGCCATCTACAGGTTCATGTGAGAATGACAACAGCAAAATAATATATGGAGGAAGCTTGTCTTCATATTATTCTGCATTGATATATAATGCATTGCTGGGATTTGTAGTCCTGTATAGTTGGTTGCCATTCGACATTGCTGTATAATGTATTCCTGGGATATGTAGTCCTCTCTAGCTGATGGTATTATTCTGCATTGCTGTAAAATGTATCGCTTAGATTTGTAGTCCTCTATAGCTGATGGTATTATATCTCTATGATTAAGCATAATCGGTGAAATGCCTAAGAGGACCTCTGTTGTATTGGGGAGCATGTCTGTGGTAGGCACATTCGGATTCCAACAAATGAATATTCCATTTATCATTTTAAGATCCGGCAGTGTGCGGCTATTCTTTTGAGCTGAAATAATTAATGTAGCGGGATCATTCAAACATATCTTACATTCCACCTGTTTAGCCCCCAGGCTGGGCGCACACTTTTGTGTCTTGCGTTGGTGTGACGTGGTGCCATCTTTTCTTAATTGTATCCCAATGCACCTTGCCAATAATAACCTTGACCCAGCCTCAATAGGGATGACAAATACAGAGCAAAGTTACTGACAAAGTGGGTTGGAAAGAACTTAATTTGCCCGATTACTGGTATGCTTAGGAGAACTATGCATACCAGTGATGTAAAGTAAAAATCTGAAGTAAAAAGCATGCCATCAACATTGTGAATCAGAATAAGCCTAAGTGTGCCCAGCTATGATGTTCGAGCCAATTCACTTCAACAAAGGAAAATTCCAGAGGGCAGCACCTCCTATAAAATAAATAAAATTACTGTTTTGATTAAATAACACTAGTGCCACAAATACACCTTTTAAATCTTCAATTTTAGCGGATAGTCTACTCTAACAATATTGCTATTCCTACATTTCCCTTCTCTCCCTAGAACATAAGCATTATCTTTTTTCAGTCATCATCCAGAATCTACTCTCTGTATTAAGATGTTGGCCCAGAGACAACATAATTGCACAATAGACTTTATGTTTTGGCCTGTACACATGTAATCTCACACTCCCATACTGCCACTCACCTTGTGACTTGCCACAATGGTACAATGATTAGTCAGGGGGAGCCATTTGTAGGGAAGAGGAGACTTTCCTCCTGCCTACAGTATACTGATCACATTCCCTCAGGATGCTCTTCTCTGGTCTATCCACAAAAGATTGCCTTTTACTGGCTTCCCACCTTTAATCTGTAAATTAAGGTTTTTATGCACAATGTTCAATGGTAGGAGAAGTATCTACTGTACATTTCTCCTTTCTCCATTAACAAACAATTGTCCTTCAACCTGCAGATGACAGCATAACTATTAAATACTGTATTTGTCAAAAACAATTACAGTAATAATAATAATTAAAATAAAACATTTAAAATCCATACATAGTAGGGTTGCAACAACTAATAATCGATTATGAGAATAGTTAGCAACTATTCTCATCATCGAATAGTTGGCTGGGGGGGGGAAAGAGGGGGGGGA